TACATATATATAAATATAATTTTTCCAGTTGTAATGTTTTATTATATATATCAAGGTTATAGTATAGGGTATCAATCATAAAACTTTATTCCTAGGATGAAAATTTTTACATTGAAATTAATGGAGAAATTTTTCACTTTCTATCCTAGGAATTAAGTTTCATGATTGATACCAAGATCACCTTTTTCAATTAATTTGCTTTTTGTATAGCCATGTGCAGCTTGACTCATTCGCTTGTCGCGTACGAGAAATGTTCAACTTCGCCTAACTTTTGCTGCGACGTCGCGATACTTGAAAAAATTATATATATGTTTATTGGACTATGTCGGAAATTTATCCAGGTGTATATTATTTATCTTCGTTTAACATTTTATGAACAACAAGGATAAAATGATATATAGATGCACTCGAGGCAACCTGAATCGCGCGTGTATCGCGCATCGCTGGTGTGCAAGAGCCATAACAGAGAGTACAGTGAACGTGAGAGTACTGCAAACGCTTTGAAGCGTTTTTTAACTGGTCAGTTTGTAAAATTCTTTCTTCTAATTAGTCCATCAAATGCTTCAAAGCATTTGTAGTGAGACTTTGATCATAGTCAGAGTAGTGCTAATAGCGTCTCTCTTAAAGTTATTAAATTTCTAAAAATTTTTAGACTGCCAAATAAACTTACCTCTATCTCGAAAACGCAAAACATCATTTTCAAACTTAAACTTGCGGCACATAATTTTTATTTTCCTGCTGGATTGTTAGCTGGAATAGAATCTTACCATCGTATTGGCTGTGATGCTTGCACTGAAATTATTTGTATAAACGTAATTTATTTGGGAAAATAAAGCCATTAAATATGTAAATCAATTTTTTAATTATAAATAATTTATTTATAAACCAAAAGAAATATATACGAATGCTTAATTTGTATATCTTTTATGCTCGTTTCTACCAATGTAGATTAATCTTGTTTGTCTTTTTTAAATTTACTTTTCCATCTTTATCTAGTTCTAAAAATTAGAAAAAGACAAAAAGTAAGGGAGCGTTTATATTGGCCGTAATCGTCAAAAATTGATCAATCACCTTGGAGTATTCTCTTCTTATTGCTGAAAGACAGGAGAATATTTGACTGTGATTAATCAATTCTTACAGATTACGGCATATGGCTATAGCCATATGAATATTCCCTAATCCTGATGAAAGTGTAAAGCTTGTCGAAGAAGTGTGAACAAAAAAATTTTAACGCTTTTTAAACACTTGACTTTCCATTGACTCTTAGTGATTTTGAATATTCATACACGCTCCACGAATTTTTCCCAACGCTCCGTAAAGTATGCCCAAAACACATCTGTCACATTTCACACATGTTTTAAATTTTTTTTTTTTCATTAACATTTCTTATACGTTCCTCAATACTATGCAAAGAATGCATGGAGCGTACTGATACACTTTCTAAACACTATTCATTAGTACAGAGTGCGTCACCAAAATTCGAACAAAGCGAACAATTTCTTTAAACAAAATGTTTTTAATTAAAATTAAATATTACAAAAAATCCTTTTACGTGGCACTTGGAGGATCCCTGTATATACAATTATTCGATATATTCCCTATTAACTTGAATGACAGCCTCTATTTTCGGTCTGAAGTGCACACATGCTGTAATGTAGTGCTGTCCATGCCGACAAATACTATCTCAATAATGGTCACATCGGAATGCCTAGATTTATTTGTGACCCTTTCAACTACGCTCCATACTTAGTATAAGTATCCCTCTAAGGGATTTAAATCTGGACTGTTGAGAGGCCAGAATTCCTTGGACCAAAACATATTGACGTTATCTGAGATCCAATTTTGAATTAAATGACTCGTATGAGTCAGAGCACCGTCCTGCTGAAAAACATATGCGGCCTTCCAGACGCCACAGTTTTCATCCATGGCTTCACTACATCCATCAGAACGCGCAAATACACTTCTGTTGTGACAGTTTCCTATTTTTCAAAGAAATGTGGTAGCATGACATCACTCTCACTGGACACAACATCTAGCATGTGAACATTGGTCGGAAATTTCGTTCTGGCAACAACAGGGACATAGATGGTTATAGATGAGTCATCGGTCATACCTCCAGTTGATTTTGGCATCAACAGTAAAAATTTTTTCGTCAGAAAAGAACCTGATTCGTCACGCTATTTTTCAAAGAACACAATACCAGATGGTAGCGAGCAACTTGGCTTGTCCTGGCAGCCTCAGAGAGCATTTGTCGTATCTTTACGTATACGATTTGTATTGAAGGTCCTCCTTGACAATTCGACGCATTGTTGGCTCGCTTACAATCGATGCTAATTTTCGCAACGATTGCCCTGGATCATTCGAAATCAGTACTTGAGCCTTTTTCAACGATTGCAAGGTTCTCACGGTACATTCTTTCGAGTGATTCTTCCTCGCTGACATACTAGAACTTTCGTTGAACTGTTCTAAAATATTGTATATTTTGTCACATCATGAACGGTTGATATTGGGTATCCAAAAAATCGAATTATTTCCGTTATTGAGCGCTCAGCGCGAAGATCTTCGATGATCGTGAAGTATAATCTTTGATTATACTCCGCATGGTTTCAACACAGTATAATCAGTAGGGACACTTCGTGTCAGCATCTTTGATCTCCGCGTCGCAGTCACGTAAGCATCCGCCATGTTGAAAAATCCAGGATTGAAAGAAGATATAATGCGATAGTCCATTGCTTTGCTCTAAAAAACACAATTAAGGATGCCGTGTAAACATAGTCAATGTAAAAATATTATCTTTTTTCACAAAATTACATTTGATTATGTTTAATTAAGTTAACCTAACATAAACTACTTACTTTTTAAATTATAAAAACTTACGATATCTTTGGGATAACGAAAAAAAGTGCTTTGTGAATTTTTACTATTATTATTGCATTGTTTAATACTGCATGTAACATAACTTTTCTTTTTTTATCCATTTTTTAGAAATATTTACGACGCAACTCTTAAATTGTCTTTTTTTGCCACGGATATCTGCTCACACGGGATCTGTGTAATATGTATGCTTGTCATCTTGCATTTCATTGGATCCGGCCCAAAACAAAAGTTGCGCAGCCATACCTGCGCGGACACGCATTTTTTCGCTGAGTGTCTCTACTGATTATACTCTGGTTTCAACATCGTGACCATTTTGAGAATATGACTTTAGTTTATTAGAAGCATTAGGCTTTTGCGGACGCCAACAACAACTTCTGGTGGAGGTACAATATAATAGGTAAATTTAAATTGTTAATTTGTCCGGATTTTGATGACGCACCCTGTACTTCGTCTACGGTTCCTAAACGTTCGGCAAAAAGTACACAGAGCATTCAAATTCGTTTTATGTATACGCTTCCAGGATATAGAGATAAAAAAAATTATTTTAAAACGGAGTGTCATTGAGCTATACAGCGAACGTAAACGAAATGTCGTTGAGTAATACGACAGAGGGACTTAGCGAGAATTAATTTCTGGAATTTAAAAAATCGCACAGGCTAAAAGACGTAGTATTGAAAGATTTTTCAGTTATGTTCTAATGAAATAATTTTTCGAAGTGAGCCCCTAGAGCTTCAAAAAGAAAGCATAGCACTTTTTTTTAGATCTTTACCGAATAAATGAAATATAAACTTTAAAATATCATTTGCTTACCAAGAATTTCGATTACATTTTATTCACATTTGTCTAAGAACTTGACGATGCTCCGTTCGCTAGA